TCTGCACGACCTGCTGCGCGCCATGAGCCTGCTCTGTCTGGTTGCCGTCACGTTCGGCTGGAGCTACTCCCACCTGCTGCTGCGGCTGTACGGAGGCGCCCTGCTGACCGCCGGTCCGGCCGTCAGTCTGCTGCGCGCCCAGTGCGCCTACGTGCTCCTACTGGCGGTGAACGGAGTGCTGGAGTGCTACACGTTCGCAGTGATGCGCCAGGAACAGATCAATGGGTAAGTGCCGTGGAGGGTTTATGGAAGGCAGTCGGGAAATGGTCGGGGCTTAGTAAGGAGTGAGGTAAATTAGTCGGTAGAGGCTGAGCGGATTAGGAAATGACGTTCTCATGTTGGTTTTTGTTGTTAGACTGCCTTTTGCGGCTAAAGGCGAAGTGGAAAGGCTGGCCAGTCGTGTCGATAAAGTGAAGCTAGGAACGTTACTATCGGGCGCTTTGACAGGTGTTGTGGCGTTTTCCGGTGTTTCAGGTATAACCGGAAGATGGTGCTGCTATCTGTGATATTCGTCATCTCGACAGGGATCTTTACTAGGCTATTCGGCGGGGTTGGATTGATCCTCGCCAACTGCGTCAATATGCTGACCAGGATATACGTTTGGTGAGTTTTTGTGTTTTTGAATAGATTTGATTTGTCCTAATTGGTCTAATTATTTACATCATTATCCAATCTGTCATGGATAGTCAATATCACGCTTTATTCGCCGATCTCGATATACTTGGATCTCGTTACTTCACCCGTCCATCGACTGATACGAATGTCTGCTGTCCCCAATAGTGTCCTGTACCCCTCTCAATTCTCATCCCGTGCCCTCCCCGTATGCTGCTGGTTCCCGATACAGTGTCCCGTGCCACTCTCAACCATCATGTCTTCGTCCCATTTTCTGCTGCTGCTGCCCGCTCGCCCCGTCCAGTGTGTTGCTGGCGCTTGATGCAGTGTCCCGTACCCCTTTCACCCTGTCCCCACCCCGTGTGTCGCTGATGCCCGATACAGTGTCCCGTACCTCTCTCGTATGTATGTATTGTATGTATTACCTTCATGGACAATCCACGCGGGGCGTGGCGATTACAGTCCGATTACTCTCACCCTGTCCCCGCCCCGTGTGTCGCCAGTTACCGGTTCGTGGCCGGTCTGCCGCTGGAGCCGGCGGTGTCCGTGCCGCCGCTGCTCGGTCTCCGCCCGCCGCCCGCCGTGGCTGCCGCGCTGGTGACCGCCGGCCTGCTGGCAGCCGGCTCCGAGAGCTGGCTGTATAGTCTCTCTTGAAAGTATCGCGTCCTGGGCTGCGGCGGCTCAGCGAACTATTCCATTCAGTTTGAGGACCCCAGTAGGGAGGTCATGGCCTGTATCATAAAAAGTACGCTGTAACACGATTTCACGCCAGCGGTAGAAGGAAAATTGCTATATGACGCAGGCCCCAGCGGCTGACAACTGGGTCAAAACAGGCGGAGGCCGGCCAAAGGTCATGCTCGTATCGCTCTCCCTTGACCCCGTCCACCGCCCCAGGCGGATACCGGTGCCTCTTGGGCTCACCAGCCGGACGCTCATTGGTGTGCCTTTCTGGGCGCCAATCACTCAGTGTGCGTGACGCGTAAAATCACAACGAAGCGAAGTTCCGCCATAACCCCAGTGGCGGATCCAGGGGAGGGCAAATAGGGCAATTGCCCTCCACAAAGGACATCATTTTTAACATTACGTCTATGGCAGTGCATGAAAAGAGACAATAAATTGTGATGGTTTGCCCCTCCCAAAACTTTGGGTTGGATCCGCCTATACATAACCCTTACTGTAATGAGGCCTTCTGAATGACGTAAACAGGTCATGCGGGGTGTGGGGGGGGGGGAGGAAGCCTGGCATCAAATAAGTTTTTAAAAAGAACATGGCTGAACAGCATTATTTTTTCTTTTTTGTCGCCGTTCGTTAACCGGCTCATTAAAAAGAGAGAACTTCAAATATAAGACTAAATGGCTAGACAGCGAATTGGCGAACTGGCTAGAGAGATAATTCTTGTTTTTGAATCCGCTTACGAGTGCATGTGCAAGCACGGATGCATTCTGTTAGCGGGTGCAACAGATGATTTTTTAGGTATATGCGCACGAGTTTCCGGATTTTACCCCCCCCCCCCCAAAAAAAAATGTGACAGTCGTGCCGATGACGAGTCAAATTGCTAACTTTGCAATGAAACAAATCTCAACAAATCCTCTGCGAGTAGGGTGGCCTCCGTTGACCACATGCTTAGCTACCATCACAAGTAACCGGATGGCGACTGCCACCCCCCCCCCCCATCCCTCCGCAGTCCGCAACCACTTCCCTCGGCCCGCTGCGCCGGCTGCCTCCGCGTGTCAGGCTTCGGTCAGTGCTACCAGCGCGGCGGCTCTCAAACCTTTCCGCTCAACCGCGGCTGGGACAGGTGGCGCCTTCCTTCGGAGTCGCGATACTTTCAAGAGAGACTATACCCCAGCTCCGCCGCCGCCCATGTGGCTGTGGGCGCGCTCTGTGGGGCCGCCGTGGTGGCCGCGGCAGTGTACAGCGAGCCCCGCCTCCTCCAGGCGGTCAAGGAGCGGGTCGGGGATAAACTGAAGCGCAGCTAGCGGGGAGTGCTACTCACATGGTCACGCAGGGAATAGGGGTTGTTTTGTTGTGATATTTATGTGCATTTTGGGTTGAATATACACCGTGCCTGTCAGTAGAGTGGATCTATTAATTTTCAGACTGGTGCGACTGCAGGGGGCGTTGAGGCTATCGGCCATTTGAGAGCTGGACAGTGCTTGAAAGCAACTTCCTACCGATGAATTTTGGCATTCAGATCCTAATTATAGCCATTTGTGATGAACGATGGCGATGCAGGGGACGGCAGGGGAGGTGAAGGGATGGCACCTCCCTGGAGCTTATGGTAATCGCGGAAGCCCATTACCGTTTACCACCACTGCATAGCCAAAGTGGTAAGACCGGAGAGACGCGATCAGGCCGGATTGCCAGTTGTCGATTCCTCTATCGTTGTAGAGGTCGCTTGCAAAGTGAGATGACTGCTTTTCGTAGAGGGCGGTAAAATCGTGGCCGGTTAGCGTCTGGTGGGGCTTGTAGGCTAATGATGGGCACGACCGGGTGCTGTATGCTATGTGTGGTGACAGCGGCGTTCCTGAGCGTAGGGTGTATCTCTTGCTCTGAAGTCCAGAAGTCCTTATCGTTCTTGTGCATTCACTTTGTCAGTGCCTGATGTCAGTGTCAGTGTTTGTCAGTGTTTCATTCTGTAGCAGACATGCAGTCATATTTGGTTAAATAGAACCTTGCAGTCTGAGGCAGTCTTTTCATTACAGTACCTCATTACAGCGTCTCATTCATTACAGTTCAATATTTAGAAATGCAAGACATTACACATTAGGGCCGATCGGGCATAGAAATACAAAACAACAGTATACGCTCGCTGGCTATTATTCTGAGACTCAGCATTGAACCTGCCATCACTACAATACAGGAGGCGACAGGTGTAGAGGTGATGTCATACTCATTTATCAAGTTCTGCTGACTTGACCCACAAGTTGACTCCATTATAAATATTGTCTCTTTATCATGAAACAGACTCAGAAACCTTGGCATGAATGCTCTCAGGCTCTCAAGAGAATGTTGAAACTCAGGTCTCAAAAGATTAAAATTACAATAATGAAATGTTTCACCTACCTGACCTTCCATTGCCATAAACACTCATACTGGTACTGGATGGAACTTAAAATAAAACAGGGGTGGATAATTAGGGGTTTGTAGCACCCCCTGGGATTTTCAGAATTCTCTACCGCTGAATAAAAAGGTTAATCATCAAAATATTATCACAATCACCCAGCAACACACGGTATATACCTACAGCCACACAGCCCAATACCACAGACAGCCAATAAACAAGCAGTGATGGAGGCGTGTTCAAAAAGTTAATATGCAGCTGTCGACACTAAATAGTCGGTGATTTTCCGTTAGAAATTTTGCGCAAACACCATCTGTATGGGCCTTCTAACAGAACCACCACAATTGAAACAAAAGCGCCAAAAAACTGGAATGTTTGTTTTTTTCGCTCGGGAAAGATATATACGCTTCGGTTACATGAGCGATCCGTTCCAAATACGCACTACGCTAATTCGCATCAGCTCCCCAAGAACGCATTCAGTGCACCGACTACATGAGCAAATTCGTATCAGTGACGTCAAACGGATCTAGTTTGGCTCTCGGCCCGATGCGCATTACAAACGGAATAGCATACAAATGTGGCGCACTTCCGTAGCAATAGAGGTGACTATATTAAAAATTTATTATCTTATGTCTTTTTTGCATTTAATCTGCTCAAAACATTCTCAATTAACTTAACAAAAAAAAGTTGAACATAAAGTTGTCTTGCTTTGACTCATTGGGCAATTGCCTCTCTTGATTCGTCTGTAGTGCTGTCAGAAAAATGTTTCAACTGAAATTATGTGGATATTTACTATTTGGTTTTCACTATATTTATTGTTGAAAACTTGGCAAAATACCGACATATTTTTTTAATATTATTTCAAAAGAAGAAAATGAAAAAAATACCTATTATTTTGCATTTTAATGTTTCTTTTTGCGAAGAAATAGTTCCTGTAATACGTATCTTGGTCCTATTCGCTTCTAAGCCTCTTTCTCAGCGGATTTTGTTCGGACCGCCGATTCGTATTAGCAGGTGGATACATGAGTCGGTAGTACGCTCCTGATTCGCATTAGCGGTGAATCCGATCGTGATACGTATTTGCTTTGCTCATGTAACCGCGGATCGGATCGCCGATTCGTACTAGCAGGTGGCTACATGAGTCGGTAATGCGTTCCTAATTCGAATTAGCGGCTAAATACGTATTTACTGTGCTCATGTAACCCCGATACTTGTACCGTGCTACATACGAGTTGAAGTCCTTCAAGACTAGCCATATAACATGTAGAATTTGTGTAACCCACGAACGCACTGGCACAAACTGAAATTGAAATGTCTGTTGCAGGACAAGGATTCTAACAAGAAGGTTGAGGTAGGTGATGCTTACGCCATGATTTGTCATTGGGTAAAGTTAAAGTGACCATCCAAATCAGAATGGCATACTAAACAAGTTATATTTGTGTAAAATGGCAAAATGAAATTTTCAAACCCCTAATTTTCATTGTTGTAGTGCTTTTATACTTATTATATGGTTTTACCTGTTGCTTCAGTTTTGTATTCTTGACATTTAAAAATTGTGAATTGTCATCAAATGTAGTGAAGGTAAAGGACAACAACGCTATAGGTATCTGTTGTGGTGCTGAGGATATCACTAAATGGGAATGATAGCAAGATAGATGCTGTATTCTTGCAAGCAATTGTTGCCTGTCTGTTAACATTTCCTGTGAATCAAAATAATGATTAAGTCGAGTCAATGAATGTCATTAAAGGTCAAATATTGCCAATTTCAACATTGTTTTCAGATTCAGCCTAGTTTGAACTGACCCAAGAAATGACCGAGTGCTTCCTTGATGATCTTTGACGCTCTTTCGGATGCCGCTCACCGCGAGTCGCTACCTGGCCCAGGAGCCAAATTAGAGGGGGCGTTCAAACACCCTTGGCCTGGCGCGTTTGGCGCCAAGCACCGGCTCGGCGCGGCTTAAACCAATAGAAATGTTGAGCGCAACCCTTGGGACAATCACAGAACTTCGCGCTAACAACCCGTGACTGAACATTGGAAATTGGAATAGATGTATAATTATTGCCACTGAGCCATCCATTTCGCATCATAACTAGTTCCATTGCAATGTACCTAGGTAGTTTGCATCCTTTTTTATAAATTTAGTTCGAATGGCTGAATGGGCGGATTTGAGGAATCAGAGCCCGCACTAAGCATAGCTTGTTGTGCTGACCCTGACCCCACCACCCGATCATGCAATTCCAGTTGTATGACAGAATTTTGTGTCCAAATGTTGAGCGCGCCCTCACGACTGGACACGGTCCCCTCCGCTCATTCACGTTACCTGGCTTCTGTGCGGCCCCTGCCACAGACACGCACGCCATTACACGTAGGAGCTAAATGTGGCCGCCCGCACCGGGGCTTAACCGAGCTCTCACTTCCGGCTAAGCGTCGAATTTCGGCGCTTTTATTCACTCGGCCACGGAGAGGACAAATTTTCCTAATTAGTTAGTTTGCAAAGTAACTGAATGGTCAGTTAGTTTGCAACGTGACTAGTTACGTTGTAACCTAACGGATTTCGCATACTAACTGTAACATAGTCACTGTAACCGTGCGGCTGCAGGTGGCGCCATTGTCACTTTCTCTGTGCGGCTGCAGGTGGCGCCATGCCGACGCCGCGCGGCTGGCGGCTGCTGCTGGTGGCGCTAGTGACTCGGTGTCCTCACTTTCTCTGTGCGGCTGCAGGCGGCGCCATGCCGACGCCGCGCGGCTGGCGGCGGCTGCTGGTGGCGCTGGTCGGCGCCGCCGGTCTGGCGCTGCTGCTGCTCTCCCGGCAGCTGCGGCCGCCCGAGGCGCCCCTGCCGGCGGCGGCCGGCGCCCGGACCGTACTGCCCTACCACGACAGCTTCGAGTACCTGCTGAACAGTCCCGTGTGTGGTGGCGAGGAGCCGGTGCGGGCCGTGATCGTGGTCCACTCGGACCCGCGCCGCCCGGAGGTGCGCCAGGCCATCAGGGACTCGCTGCCGGCAGCCGAGCTGGCCCAACTCGGTCTGAGGCGCGCCTTCATGCTGGCTGAGGCGTCCACCAGGCTGCGGGAGGACGAGGTCACCATAGCGCAGGTGAGGACTGCTGGACGGGTGGGGAGCGGCCGAGATAGCGGCGGGCCGATGATACTGGGAGCGGGGACGCACCGAGAGGTGGTGAGCTGGCGAGCCAGCAGAGCTGCGGAACTGGGCAGTGGGAACGAACTGATGTGTGTGTGGTGTGGGGGGAGGGGGAGGGGGTCGCGGGAGAAGTTCTGTTATTTGTGTGGTAAGAGCTTTAGAGTCTGTAGGAGGTCTGCCTTTGGAGGCCGACCCGGTGACTCCCGCCGCTGATGCCCTCTCACGTAGCGTCGCCCTCCCTCCCTACAGTCGGAGATAGCAAAGGAGAGCGCCCTACACGGCGACGTGGTGCAGGGAAACTTCCACGACTCCTACCACAACCTCACCTACAAGCACATCATGGCACTGGACTGGGCCATCACCTTCTGTCCCCAGGCCAGGTGAGAGACATCCTCGGATGGCGTGTTGAAGCCACCGATGAATTACATTATTACACCGATGAATAACATCATTTCTGAGGAACACATTATTTTGAATCGGATTTTAGAAGTCTCACAATCAGGGAAAATTCCACTTTAAATCACTCTCTTCCCGCAGACACATCATCAAGATGGACGACGACATCGTGTACAACGTGTACGAGCTGGTGAAGGTGCTGCACTTCGTGCCGTCCGCCCGCTACCTGGGCGGCAACGTGTTCCCGGCTGCCGCGCCCTACCGCGGCAACTCAAAGTGGCGCGTCAGCCGCGCCGATTGGCCGCGCCAGTACTACCCGCCCTACGTGTCAGGTACGGACGGACACTACCCGCCCTACGTGTCAGGTACGGACGGACACTACCCGCCCTACGTGTCAGGTACGGACGGACACTACCCGCCCTACGTGTCAGGTACGGACGGACACTACCCGCCCTACGTGACAGGTACGGACGGACACTACCCGCCCTACGTGACAGGTACGGACGGACACTACCCGCCCTGCGTGACAGGTACGGACGGACACTACCCGCCCTACGTGTCAGGTACGGACGGACACTACCCGCCCTACGTGTCAGGTGTGGACGGACACTACCCGCCCTACGTGTCAGGTACGGACGGACACTACCCGCCCTACGTGTCAGGTACGGACGACATTTCCCGCCTCGGTGATGCTAGTGATACCGCCAGTCTACCTTGCGGATGCAGCTCTTCCAGTCGGATGTGGGACGCTGGTCTTTGATCTCGTGACTGGTGCCAATGCTCGACTTTAGCGCCTATATTGATGGTTCATGGCTATCCGTGCGCTACTGTTGGTCTACAGTGCGCACTGTGGCACGTTTTCAGTGCGTGTCTCGCTATTTTGTACCAGACTGGCTGCTGATTTCAGTGCCTATCTCGCTGTTTTGTTCCAGGCTGGCTGTACATCGCCAGTCAGGACGTGGCGCGCGCCCTGGTCATGCAGTCGACCGTGGTGCCGTTCTTCTGGATCGACGACGTGTACGTGACGGGGATCCTGGCCGAGCAGCTGCATGTCACCGTCCGCGGCCTCAACAGGTCAGTACCGAGCTCAGCTGCCTATCACCGTACCCTCGGCCTCAACAGGTCGGTACCGAGCAGCTGCCCATCACCGTCCGCAGCCTCAACAGGTCGGTACCTAACGCCCGGCAGCTGCACCTGGTACCTGTTTTTACCGAGCAGCTGTCCAGGTCGGTACCTAACGCCCGGCAGCTGCACCTGGTACCTGTTTTTACCGAGCAGCTGCCCAGGTCGGTACCTAACGCCCGGCAGCTGCACCTGGTACCTGTTTTTACCGAGCAGCTGTCCAGGTCGGTACCTAACGCCCGGCAGCTGCACCTGGTACCTGTTTTTACCGAGCAGCTGCCCAGGTCGGTACCTAACGCCCGGCAGCTGCACCTGGTACCTGTTTTTACCGAGCAGCTGTCCAGGTCGGTACCTAACGCCCGGCAGCTGCACCTGGTACCTGTTTTTACCGAGCAGCTGTCCAGGTCGGTACCTAACGCCCGGCAGCTGCACCTGGTACCTGAATTTACCGAGCAGCTGCCCAGGTCGGTACCTAACGCCCGGCAGCTGCACCTGGTACCTGTTTTTACCGAGCAGCTGTCCAGGTCGGTACCTAACGCCCGGCAGCTGCACCTGGTACCTGAATTTACCGAGCAGCTGCCCAGGTCGGTACCTAACGCCCGGCAGCTGCACCTGGTACCTGTTTTTACCGAGCAGCTGCCGAGGTCGGTATGGGAGAGTGGGGCACATTCGTGCAAAAAAATGGATACATCCATATATCTGTTCTTTGGTTAGTGCAACGGCAAAATTGTTAATTTTAGTATAAAGGAACTATTGCAGATATTTTTCCTTCTTAAAAGTTATCCTCTAAAATTATTGCTTCTGTTAGAAAAAATGACTTTTAATAACTCCGAACGTTTGCAAGAAACTGCCCCACCTATGGGGCACTTTCGTGCAAGGGGTGGGGCACTTCCGTGCACCCTACAAAGCAGGGCTGCGGAGTCGATGGATTTTCGGCGACTCTGACTCCGACTCCGACTCCGGCTTTCAAAAACCAGCTCCGACTCCGACTCCGGGCAGAATTGTCGACTCCGACCGACTCCAACTCCCGACTCCGACTACGCAGACCTAGCAGGGCTGCGGAGTTGGCAGATTTTCGGTGACTCCGACTCCGACTCCGGCTCGGGTTTCTAAAATCGACTCCGATTCCGACTCCGGTCACAACTGTCGACTCCGACCGACTCCGACTCCGACTCCGCAGCCCTGCTACAAAGTTCGAGCAATTACCGGGCATTACCAGAAATTTACCAAAGGAAATTGGCAGGGGGTCATTTCACTTGATTCCTTTCGACAAGAATGCATTGCACTAATGCACAACATAGGTATGTAGAAAAAATGGGCTGGCCAACAAGAATGTGGCATCTGCCGGCCTCCGTGACCTCGCCAAGGTCGCGTGAATTACTTGCCACGAGGTCGCAAGCAGCCGAGACTGAGTCAGGCGAGCGTCATTAGTGAAACCTACTACAGATAAAGTCATAAATCGCAAAAACGAAAAAAAATATGCACGAATGTGCCCCCAGGCAGTGCGTACACGAACCTGCCCCACAACGTTATTTGTAATATATTTCAAAATTTCTTGTTGAAAAAATGACACTTTTTTAACAAACACGTTTGCAGCGATTCCGTGAATAGGGTGAGCTTCTTCGCCCCCAATTTTGAAAAGCTGAACCACATTTCCGAGTCACGATCACGAAAATGGATGATATGAGAAAGGTTTGGAAAGCGCACATTATTACAAATTTGCGTTTTTATCAAGCATGACAGCAGGTATAGTCGACTACAGAATGATGTTCCACTTTTCACAGGCAATTATTTGCCTGGAGTGGTAGGCTGTGCCGCATCACACGGGCTGAGTTCACAAATTATAGCTTTGTCCCAACTCCCAAATATGCTCACAATCGACACGCTTAATTGCGTGATAAAAACGGCACAACTTAGCGCTCCGGTCAACTGATGATAGCTTCTGAGGAGTGGAACATCATTCTGTAGTCGACTATACAGTGTTGTCTTCTACGGTGAACGAAGGGCGGCAATGATAGACATATTTCCATAATTTACCTTGAGCTCGTGCAGTCACTCGTGTTCCCATAAACTGCTGAAAACGAATGTGCCCCAATGCCCCATGCACGAATGTGCCCCACTCTCCCCTACCTAACGCCCGGCAGCTGCACCTGGTACCTGTTTTTACCGAGCAGCTGCCGAGGTCGGTACCTAACGCCCGGCAGCTGCACCTGGTACCTGTTTTTACCGAGCAGCTGCCGAGGTCGGTACCTAACGCCCGGCAGCTGCACCTGGTACCTGTTTTTACCGAGCAGCTGCCGAGGTCGGTACCTAACGCCCGGCAGCTGCACCTGGTACCTGTTTTTACCGAGCAGCTGCCCAGGTCGGTACCTAACGCCCGGCAGCTGCACCTGGTACCTGTTTTTACCGAGCAGCTGCCGAGGTCGGTACCTAACGCCCGGCAGCTGCACCTGGTACCTGTTTTTACCGAGCAGCTGTCCAGGTCGGTACCTAACGCCCGGCAGCTGCACCTGGTACCTGTTTTTACCGAGCAGCTGCCGAGGTCGGTACCTAACGCCCGGCAGCTGCACCTGGTACCTGTTTTTACCGAGCAGCTGCCGAGGTCGGTACCTAACGCCCGGCAGCTGCACCTGGTACCTGTTTTTACCGAGCAGCTGCCCAGGTCGGTACCTAACGCCCGGCAGCTGCACCTGGTACCTGTTTTTACCGAGCAGCTGCCGAGGTCGGTACCTAACGCCCGGCAGCTGCACCTGGTACCTGTTTTTACCGAGCAGCTGTCCAGGTCGGTACCTAACGCCCGGCAGCTGCACCTGGTACCTGTTTTTACCGAGCAGCTGCCCAGGTCGGTACCTAACGCCCGGCAGCTGCACCTGGTACCTGTTTTTACCGAGCAGCTGCCGAGGTCGGTACCTAACGCCCGGCAGCTGCACCTGGTACCTGTTTTTACCGAGCAGCTGCCGAGGTCGGTACCTAACGCCCGGCAGCTGCACCTGGTACCTGTTTTTACCGAGCAGCTGCCCAGGTCGGTACCTAACGCCCGGCAGCTGCACCTGGTACCTGTTTTTACCGAGCAGCTGCCGAGGTCGGTACCTAACGCCCGGCAGCTGCACCTGGTACCTGTTTTTACCGAGCAGCTGTCCAGGTCGGTACCTAACGCCCGGCAGCTGCACCTGGTACCTGTTTTTACCGAGCAGCTGTCCAGGTCGGTACCTAACGCCCGGCAGCTGCACCTGGTACCTGTCGGATGGCGTCTGTCCCGCACTGTCACCCCGATCAGTGGTGGTTACTTTTATACCGAGGATATTTGTAGTTGTGTTGATAAATTGCCCTACGTTTTAATGTATATTCGCGGTCATTGGTAATGTTCCACTTTTATCATTCCATTTTCATTTGGTAAATTCAATTTCCGTTTTCATTTGATAAATTCTTTGCATTTTACCGTAATAGGCATTAATTATCTCAGTTAAATATGTGTTCGAGGAGAATGCATTTTAGTAGCAGGGGCATTCCACGATAGATCGTACCACTTTTTTCCAATTTGACACCCTCATCTCTCGGAATTTGACGAGAATTGGTCTCAGGGGTAATCAGGGGCTCTGAATCCACCTGTAACAATTTCAGGCTTATCAGATAAGCATTTTTTGAGTTATGGTGTATAACATTTTTTGGATCTTGCTTTGCAGCGCTAAGTTTGGCGGGCTGTAACTCTAAGACGGATTATTCAAATGCCAAATGTTATATAACATTGAACTTGCAATGAAACAGAGATTAATATGTATTTTTGAAATTTCGAAAAATACGCTATTTTTGATATAAGACATATCGAGTTTTCTTTCATTTGTATTTTTTGGACTTTGGGAACAAATTTTTTTGAATTTTTATTTCTTTATAAAAATATTTGGCTCATTGTTAACAAGCATGCAAAAAACTAGGAAGGTGTTCTTTCTATAAATGTATTTATTTTACGTCGCGATAACGGTTTCGAACAGTGATTTCGGGAGGGGAGCTTACAAATGGCGTGGTAAAGCTGCCTAGTGACATCACGGGTTACTGAAATTTCAATTCAAGTCTGAGTCATCTGAAAAAAGTGAAAAGAGGGTTCATTCAACCCTCTTTCCTATAAGCGCGAGGGTGAAAAAGGCTGTTTGGTTCTGACATTGTTTTTGGACGCCAATGACCATAGCTGTCCGAGATGAAAGTTACAGGACGCATACATGGTGTCCTCCAGAGGTCTCACAACTTGTATATCTGGGAATTTTTCAAGGTTAGGCATGAGGTCAGGTCGGTCACGTGACATCACTGTTATAAATCAATGGGGAAATATAAAAACTGTTATTTTGGCGCCGAGAATGATCTAAAACTATCCCACGTACATGGTATCGTGATTTCATGCACTCCTTGCAAAGTCCAATGCTTTACTTTTGCATTGTTAACCTTGCGTGACGTCATTTATGACGTCACTAGGGACGTACGAGTTTTTCGTCAATAACTCCCGATCTAATGGAGCTAGAGAGTCGGGAAAGCCACCAATGGACTCGGGAAGACCTTCCGAATCGAATGATATGCCATATGATACCCTTTGCCCAGCTTCGTGACCTGAGGGGCTCTGACCTGACCTTGACCCGAGGTCAACTACTTAAGTTGACCTCACCCTAGCAAAAAGTATACCATTCGATGCACCTGATCTAGGCGAACACAATGATGCCAAAATCGCGGCTCTGCGACCATTTTTTGCGAAGTTATTTACTAAAAACCGAACCCGTAACTTCAGTCACGTGACCTGACCTCAGACGCTACCGGTTAACCTGAGACCTTAAAATCGGGTACCAATCGCTGCGATTTGTAACGGCACACACGCTCGTTTTTTCCGCGAGGCTCTAGCTCTATTAGAAGCGAAACGGCGTGCTGGGGTCGTATCAACCCCTCCGAAACCCATTTTGTTTGCGGGAAAATGAGGAACTTATAGAAAAACACCTTTCTAATTTTTTGCATGTCGATTTGCAATGACATGAAGATTATTTTGAAAAAATAAAAATGTGAAAAATTTTGGTCCCAAAAGTCATTAGAGGCAAATGAAAAAAGATTAAGGTTTTTGCTCAACAATGAAATTTTTTCTTTGGAATTTTTAAATAGTAATATTAATTTTTGATTCATCGCAAGCTTAGTGTTGTTTACTTTTTGTTGGTTGCTTAACCCGTTCTTGAGTTATAGGCCATCAAACTCACCGTTACATACCGAAGTTAAAAAAATGTAATGCAATATAACTCAAAAAGTTTTGATTTGAGAAGTCTGATATTTTGCCAGGCGTCTTTGGGGCCTATGATTACCTCTAGGACCGATTTTCATTAAAATCTGAGAGATGAGGGTGACGGGCCTGGTACGATCTATCGTGGAATGCCCCAGCAGTTGGGACTGCGGTCGGCCAGTCTCGCTGACGACGCTCCCCGCTGGGCGCTGACTGCTGAGCCGCCCCGCCCTCCCCTCTGACAGACTGTTTGCCACCTCGGCCAACTGCACGCGCCACGAGACGCGCCAGGAGGGCTCCGGCCCGTCACCGAGCCCGGCCGCCGCCTACCTGCCCAGTGTGGTGGTGGCGCCCTCGGACCGCGACCTGGCCGCGCTGCGGGCCTTCAACCGGCTGTGCCGCTACTGCCGGGGCCGACCGTGCGGCCGGCGGCGGCGACCGGCCGTCTGCGCCAACGGCTTATGACCGGGCCGGGGCGGCGCGCGGCGGCTGCTCAGCGGCCGACCCGCACGGAGGCAGAGAGTCGGGGCTCGGCGGGCGGGGTGAGGGGGAGCACGCGAGGCTGTGGCGCTCTCTGACAGCTGCAGCCGCAGTCGGCTGCCGGGCGGAGCGGCTGCAGGCGGCTGCCGGACGGAGCGGCTGCAGCCGGCTGCTGGTTACAGCGGCTGCTGGCGCAGTCGGCTGCCGGGCGGAGCGGCTGCAGTCGGCTGCCGGACGGAGCGGCTGCAGCCGGCTGCTGGTTACAGCGGCTGCAGGCGCTGCAGTCGGCTGCCGGGCGGAGCGGCTGCAGGCGCTGCAGTCTGCTGCCGGATGGAGCGGCTGCAGTCGGCTGCCGGGCGGAGCGGCTGCAGCCGCTGTCTGCTGCCGGACGGAGCGGCTGCAGGCGCAGTCGGCTGCCGGACGGAGCGGCTGCAGGCGGCTGCCGTGCCGAGCGGGGCTTTTAGCACTGGTCACTGGACGGGGGACCGACAGTATTGTGTTGGCACTTTTAGTATTTATGCTGTGATGACTGCCTCCCGGGACTGCGGAACTGCCCTCCCCATTATGTTCTCCCCATTATATGTTAGTGCTCGTGATGGCATCGTGCGTGGTTCGGACCCACAGAATACGTCCCTGTAGCCCGAGTCGCCGAGCAGCTGACCGGACTCGGCGCCTCGTCGGAGTTTGGTTCTCAGTGGAGTCCAGTGTCGCTCATACCGTAACGCCATCTGCCACCGAGCACGTGATATTTTTATACTTTTATGACGTCATGACCGCGTGTCAAAGTATCGATCTAGCACGGACATGGCTCTGCTGCGTGTACCTGGTTCAGTGTATGTTTTGTGTTTGTTATATTGCCCGACATTCAAGTTGTATCCACCTTTTAAACATGCCTGTGTGACGCCGCGTGGTGTCCCAACTCCCGACCCGGGCACTGCCGCGCCCCTGGCGGCCGTTTGGGGAACCAGCCGTCCGCTCGGTGTCCGCTGTATACACGGGCCGCATCCCTCACAAAACCACTACTTAGTCGGGACGTGGAGCGTGCAGCCGGCAGGGGAACCGCCTGTTGTCGTGGGCGGTGTGATACTGTATGTTTGTTTTTGTAGCCGTGACCGCTGATTGTGATCCTTGTTTAGCGCGTCTCAGACGAGTGGCGTATGTGCTCTCTGCAGCGCCCTAACCCGTGTATCTGCTCACCTACTTACCGTGTGTCGCGCCCCTGCCGGATATCGTGTATGCGTTTCTGCCACAGTGTGTCTGAGCCGACGGGTGGGGCCGTGGGCGTCACCTGCCACTATGTACCGCACCAGGGCAGCTCAGACTGCAGTACACCGCGGCTCCTCGTCTGTTGTGTTCCACGCCCCACAGTCGTCACACGAGGGGGGGGGGGTGATCGTCACACGGGGGGGAGGGGGGGGGAGAGTGGTTCAGCACCAGCCGGCGTGCGGTGTCACCTGGTGTTAGCGTCAGTGGAAGTGCGCGTGTCCTCGCTAGTCTGGGTGCTAGTCGTGTGGCGTGTGTCGGGGTGCCGCCCTCCCTCGGTGGCCAGGCCGGGTCGTGTCTGGGTCAATACACACTGACAGACCGGAGGACTGTGTCTCCCAGCTGGGGGCCGTGGATGGAAGCCTATCGCTCGGGTCGCAGCACGGAGCGGTGCCCCTCACCATACCACTGGGCTCGCAGCTCGGGGAGCGGTGTCCCTCACCATACCACTGGGCTCGGCACCGTCACTCACAGCTCGATAGATTCTCCGCTCTCCCAGGGGGTGATTAACCACGCAAGTCTTTACGCTGATTAGCTGTGAGATTAGTTAATATTGTCAGCATTGTTTACTGGCCATTTTCTGGAAATGATCCATTGTTGAATGGAAGTCATATTGGCAGAAAGCTGACAAGTCGAGGGAATTCCGCCGGAATCGCTACCGTTTTTTTTTCCGGTTAGGCTTTGTTGCTGGTAGTTAGCACTAAGCAGTCGCAGCGTTCGTCTTGACGTAACAGTTTGCATGTGATGTGGCGTCTCAGGTCGCCGGTTCGAGATATACGGCAAACCTGAGCTGGCACTTGGCACAGTATTCTCCCCCTGGCACGACTGGCAAGTGTTTGCCGCTTTGTGTGCCATTTTATTTCACGTAGCTCATTGCATGCTGATATGTTGGCTCTGCGACGCCTTTATTCAGTTTCCTTCCCAATCTGATGGTAAAGTAACGTACCTACTGTAACGGTGCTCCGTTCTGAGCTCAGCTCCCATTCCCCGATGTTGCTCGGGTCCCGGTGCTGCTACAGTGCTCGGTCCCAAGTTGCCGTTCCCCGATGCTGCTCGGGTCCCGACCTAGCTAATGGCAGTGACCGTACCGCAGGGGACCGGTTAGCAGTGACTGGTCCGCAGGGGACCGGTCAAAGCTGGTGTTTGAACAATCTTCTACCAAATGAATCCGTCCCAGCTCAACAACAACATACATAATCATACCATTCGGTATTCCATTGTCTTTTAACTCAGCTCCCGGAAACAAAGACAATCTCTACACTCTGCGGGTCATCTCATACACTTGACCGAGCGGAAGCTCTTCAACAGTATCGACATTGCCATAATAAAGGCACGCCGCGGTCATTTCGATAGTTTTCCTTGTATTGTTTCCCACAGACGTCGGACGGTGTAGTGTATACTGCCACTGTAGGCAGTGGCGACCACGGTGCGTTTTTTGTCACTTCCCTCGGTGTAACAGACTCGGGCTACATCTAGCTGCACTGGGGTTTTGATTCTCTGCTCTCCTGCACAGCACTCCTGCCTCTCTCTCTCCATGGCTCACTGAGTCTCTCAGAGGCTCACTGAGTCTCTCAGAGGCTCACTGATGCTCACCGAAACTCGCAGAGGCTCAATGAAGCTCCAAGATTCACCAAGACTCTCAGAGACTCAGTGAGACTCAGCGGCTCCCAGAAGCTCACTGAGGCTCTCAGAGGTTCACATTGCTCACCGAGGCTCAGTGAGGCTCACCCAAGCTCTCAGCGGCTCACGGAGTCTCTCAGCGGCTGTTGGACCTCGACCTGTTGCGTTTGCCGCAGTAGCAGTGGCGCCGGCCGCCGGAGCGGGACCGGGAGCCCGAGCTGGAGTCGGAGTCGGAGTCGGAGCTGGAGCCACCTCGCCGGCGGCGGCAGCGGCACCGGTTCCTCGGCCGGCCGCGCTCGGCGACATCGACACAGCGCGGCCGGCCGGGCGCGGCCAGCAGGCAGGGCCGGCCGTGGCAGGCCAGGTCGGCGCAGGTGGCCGGCCGCGGCGGCGGCGCCGGCCCGTGCACCAGCTGCCCGCCCGCCGCCGACGGCGGGAGGTAGGCGGCCGGCGCCGGGCCGTGGCCGGCGCCAGCGTACGGCTGCTGGTGCTGCTGCTGCTGCTGGTAAGGCTGCTGCTGCTGGTACGGCAGCTGAGGCTGGTACGGCTGCTGCTGATGGTACGGCTGTTGAGGCTGGTGGTACTGCTGGTGGTGGTACTGCTGCTGGTGGTGGTAGGACGCGGGCTGCTGTCGCCGCTGAAACTGCTCCCGGTAGATGGGCGGCCGGAGCGGCCCGAACGACTGAGGCCCTCCGAACCGGTGTGCCGCCGCCCCGGGGAAGGTGGGCGACCTCGCCAGCCGCGCCGAGTACACGACCTGGGGCGTCACCGGGCGCCTGCCGCGCACTGCCACCCGGTCACACAGACAGACACACGGCGACCTCGAGCGCGACCGCGACCTGGAGCGTGACCTGGACTTGGAGCGGGAGCTGGAGCGGCGCCTCCGGCAGCGTCTTCCCTTCTTCGTGCGGCACCGGCAGCGACGGCCACCGGCTGTGACCTCGTCGTCGTCGTCGTCGTCGTTGAGTCTCGTCAGTCCCCCGAGGCAGAAGACGCGGCCGCTGCGCCGTCCGACGCGGCAGTCCTGGCCGGGCAGGCAGTGGTCGGAGCAGGGCGGCGGCGGACCCGACCGGCGTAATCCTGCCGGGGAGATGGGCTGTCAGAGGGGCGCAGCTCACCACTGGGCTCTCTCAGAGGGGCGCAGCTCACAGCTGGGCCCCGTCAGAGGGGCGCAGCTCACCACTGGGCTCTCTCAGAGGGGCGCAGCTCACAGCTGGGCCCCGTCAGAGGGGCGCAGCTCACCACTGGGCTCTCTCAGAGGGGCGCAGCTCACAGTCACCACTGACCCCGTCAGAGGGGCGCAGCTCACAGCTGAGCCGGGGAGATCAGGGTGGATCTCACACTGCACATCGACCTGAAGGTTCGGGAAGGGAGGAGGCCCATTGGCAGTCGGCTATACCCACGCTGCAGATTCAGTGCTGGTGTCGATCGCGCGGCCTCCGCAGTGTGCCCCGTTCGAGGGAGTCTCGGCTCGCTCCGTTCCCAGTCCCACCGCGCTGCGGCGCCGTCCTACCGGGGAACGCGGCAGGAAGCGCGGCGCACAGCACCTTCCTTCCCGCTCGCTGGTCGCTGGGAGGAACTCTGATCTGTGCGGGCCGACCGACGGACGTCCCAGGTGGCCGCGCCGCGCCGGGACTAGTCACCGGCGCCGGCTGGCTGTCGGTGCGGTAATGAGACGCCAGGAACTTTACAAAGATTACTTTACTATTTGTCTGGAGCACAGACAGGCCCTGTTTGTGTCGCAACAGATTGAGGAACTGTGACAGAATGTCATAATGATGCAGCTTTCCTGAAGTGATTATCATTGACCGTCACTTTTGAATGATTATGTATAGATGCATATGGCAGACGACGCACGGCTGGTAACTACTAATGACGTTCATTCAACGGGGATACCTAATCAAGCTCACTTTTTCGAAGATTTTACGAAACAAGTAGAACATTTTCGATTAGGACATGGTCATTATTGGTCCCTGGACGATCTAGTTATTTTCAAACAAAATTGCTCGCGGCATATATAGACGGGTACCAAAAATTTGGTGTACCTACGTTAAAAAATTTGGAACGCATTGTAGATGCCCTTAGAAGGTACTAGGTACATTTTTAGGTATACCTACTCATTACGTACCTTGGCTTATAGGTACCAACAGCTGGGGCATTCCACGATAGATCGTAGGGGAGATCCGTGTAAGACGCCCAGGGTCGGTAAGAGGCCCCATCGCTTTTTTTACCAAACCAATAATGTTATTTATTTTTTAATGTTCTTGTAAAGCAGAAGCCCTCTTGAAACAACAACTCACGAAACCTGAGGTATCAGGTGCGTCGCAGCGACTTTTGGTAAGCCTGTTTCTGTTTTTGCCCCTTTACTTGCTAGATATATGCATCTTTATCACCCTTATATATCTGAAAAAACAATGGCTATCAAATGCAATCTTTTCTCATCGAAATTGTCACATGTTAGCTTCAGAATAGACCATGTTCTGGTGCGCTGCAAATGTCTCATAAACCATAAATATTGTGGACGTTAAAACACTGTATTTTTTTAAGAGGCCCTCCCTTCGAGGATGATAAAACGCCCCCCCCGATAAAAAAACGCCCCCGATGCTAAAACGCCTGCACCTGCGGCAGGCGTGGCATTCTTTTTTCAAGGAGTTTGTTTTTGTTTCTTTTTTCTGTTTCTTTTCTTAGAGGTTATAGGTACAATTTTCGTTGGTCATCAGCGTTTGGTTGTGCTAGTTTTCGCATTGTTCGAGCGCTTTGGAAGTGTTATTGGTTTCGATAACACCGTATTTGCTTAGCTTTTCGAAATAAAAGGCCTTGCAGCTGTGTTCGCAAAGCGTCTTTTACAAGTCGACTTGACTTTTAAAACGCCCGAGGGGGGGGGGGGCGTCTTACCATACCCATAGTGTAAGAGGCCCTTTTGCAACTTTTTCCAAAATGTTAAAGTTTACGGTTTGTGTACCCCCTAGATTCATTTTGAATGCAAATATGTATGGGAAAATGATGCATGCTCACAGCGCATGCACACGTTAGCGCTTAAATATTATCAGTTGTCTAAAAATAGTAACTGAGCTTAAGGGGGGGCCTCCTGCACCACTCTCCCCTACCACTACCAGGCCCGTCACCCTCAGCTCTCAGATTTTAATGAAAATCGGTCCTAGGGGTAATCATATGCCCCAAAGACGCCTGGCAAAATATCAGACCTCTCAGATCAAAACTTGTTGAGTTATATCCCAGTAAACATGCCGACGTCGGCCCGACGTCGGGCCGAGGCTCGGCCCGACGTCGGCCCAACGTCGGTTCAACCTCGGCCCGACATCGGCTGGACGTCGAATATGCCCGCATGTTCCGACGTCCAGCCGAAGTCCAGCCGACGTCGGCTCGAGATCGTTTGCCGAGGTTGACGAGATCGTTTGTCGTTGGACCGACGGGGCCGACGTCGGCATGTTTATTGGGACAACGCGCCAAAAATATCAACCGGCGGCGGGATTCGAGCCCCCAGTCGCCGACGTCGGCATGTTTACTGGGACAACACGCCAAAAGCATCAGCCGGCGATGGGATACGAACCCCGTGTCATTCGAACACGAGGTTAGTGCGCTAACCACTACACCACGCAGCCAACTTTTGGCGTGTTCTCGGGCTCCACACACACACAGGGCTCCTTTCACAGTCTATTCCAGACCCCAACTGACCGCCCCGGACCAGCGAGTACCCGCCAGGTCGGGGTTCGGCCAATCACAACGCACCAGATCCACACGGCCAATCACACACTGCCACACACTGTCCACGTCATGTCACCCCACTCAGGCCGCTGCGCCACTATGGAGGTGCAAACACACCACACCATTCCATTCCTCCAACTCACAACTCACAACACTACCCCCTTCCATTTAAGGTTGTCGTCCCGACAACCAACGAACAGCAAATATCGTGAAACCACAATAGCCTAAATGAGCAATCGACACACGACAATGAGCGCACGATACGCTGGTACTAACACCATCCTAAACCTGGTACTAACAGAAAAGAAAAAAAACTGAGCAAACACCGCGGTTCTAATATGTAACGACGTTTCCAAAACGCTCGGGCGGTCGGCGCACTCGTCCCGAACGCCGTAATGACTGTTTTTCCTGCAGACCGCCGCCATTTAACAGCGATGCACCCCGTCTCATTGGAGTTTTAACGAAGCAAGTTTGGCTGTGGTCCCCGGTGTCAGCCCTGTCATCCGGTGGTATATGGGTGAAGTTTTCCGTGCGCGCCGCGGAATCTCCCGACCCCGCCCGCCACTCGGGGCGCGGTGGGTTGAACGGTCCCGTGGGAGGAACTGGCGGACGTGGGGATGGCGCACGCCGTGAACGTCCACGGCGCGCCGTGGAATCTCCCAACACCGCCCACCACTCGGGGCGCAGTGGGTTGAGCGGTCCCGCGGGCGGAACTGGTGGACGTGGGGACGGCCGCCCGCGGGCGGGGTGAGAACCACTCTCGAGACTGACGTTCCCCCGCTCCCCAACCCCCAGGGAGTGTCGTCTAGCAGCGCCACGGAGCCGACCAGGGCGCACCTCAGGCACGGAAGTGCACGGCTTGAGGCGATTGTGATGGATCACACTCTGCTTGGATCCACCTTCTCGTTGTACCCGATACGTCCAACTGCGAAGCTTTTCGACAATTTTATATGGACCTTCCCATGCGTGTGCCAACTTTCGACTCTCGCCCTTCTTTAACCCGTCGCGGCGCACCCAAACACGGTCGCCCACTGTGTACACGTGCTCCAGGATATGTGTGTCGTGAGTCGATTTGCTCGCCTGATGGGCAGCGACGCTCGCGTTAAAAATCATGGCATCAGTGGCCTCTAGTGTTTGTTGCAGGCCACACACGTATGCAAGAAGGTCCGCCGGGACGGCAGGACCCGTGTCAGTTTGAGCTCGTGCTCCCCCATACACTGCGTCAATAGGTAGCGTGGGCGGCCTCCCGAACACACACTCATACGGAGAGAGACCAGTGGATCTGTTGATGTTGCTATTGCAGGCCAACACTGCCGCCGAAAGATACTCAGACCAGTGCTTGGGATTATCAGCGCTCAGCTTAGCGACAGCGTCGATAAGAAATTTGTGACCACGCTCGGCGTAAGCATTACCCTGTGGGTGGTAAGGCGTTGTTGTCGACTGACGTATACCCAACGAGCTACAAAACAATTTCATGACATTCCCAGTCAAATTTCTGCCCAGATCACTATGGATGCATTTCGGAATGCCAAAAACACTAATGACGTGGTCCATTAGTGCTCTGACAACCGTCTCCGCTTCCTGATCACGAATTGGAATAGCCCACAGGAATCTGGTGAATGCATCAGTGCAGGTCAATACATATCGGAAACCCTCACGATGTGTCGCCGGCAGCCCACATACGAGATCAATATCAAGTCTGTCAAGAAATGCTGACACTTGAAGCGAACCCAAAGGGGCCCGCGGTGTCGGCTGAGGATTCCGTCGTCGTTCACAGACTGCACATTCTTTGCAGTAGTCCTTCACGTCCTGTTGGAGCCCCGGCCAGTGGAAACGCTCCCTGACCATGCTCTCCAGCCTGGCAACACCCTGATGGCCTCCTCCGAAGCCAGCATGCAGTGTGTGCAGGACCTCCTTCCTCAAGTGATGAGGCAAAACAATCTGCAAGCAGACAGGAGCAGCTCGGTGTGGCTGTATCCGCTTATACAGCACCTTATGCTCGCCTTCCCCGAGCACCAATGACCTCCAATCGCGTAACAAACGGCGAGCGCAATCAGTTTTCAAATTTTTCACCAGAGGACGGATTTTACTCTCTTTCCAAGCTTTGATCTCCCGTATGCCCTCGTCGCGGTCCTGCTCGCGGCTGATGTCCGGCAGTGACATTTTAGAAACGGAGCAGATCGAGGGGTCAGATGGCTGCACGGCTCCCACGGCACGGACCGTCGCCGGCTCGGTAGATTCCCCCGTCTCCGAGGGTACCAGACCGGTGCTGCCAGCTGCCTCAACATTTGTCTCAGTCACCGGCCGCCCCTCTTCCCCCTCCGAGGAGACGGGGATACAAACCCATTTAAATGCCA